GTCCCCCCAGGGCTCCGAAAAGGGGGGCCTGGACCCCGAGGCAGCAGTGGGGGCCCCGGGGCCAGCAGCAGCAGCAGCAGCAGCAGCAGCAGCAGCAGCAGCAGGAAGCCAAGCATCGGGCAGGACGCGTAGGCAGAGGAGCACGCGACTGGCTACTCTTCGCAGGCAAGAAAAGTGCGTGGGAGGCTCCTGCAGAAAATGGTCGCCCCTGCCCCGGGAGGGGGGGGGGAGACTTTGAAGAACGTGTGCTGCCCCCAAGCCTGGATGCCCAGACGCAATCTGATCTGCACGTGGCGGACATGGCACCGTGCCGCAGGCCTCGACGGGGGCACGCCGTGCTGTACAAGCTGGCCACGCGGCGTGACGGGCGGGGCTCGTCGGGGTCGCCGCGGCAGGGACTCTGGCGGGAGCGGGACGAGGGCAAAAAGGGGGAGGCGAGGCGGGGGGGGGGGGCACGGGCGGACCCCGAGGGGCTCTCAGGGGAGCGAGGGCGGTGACGTTGCACTGGGCCGCCCCAGGCGTGGGGGCGAGACTCCGTGCGGGTCCGCGAGAGGGAGAAGCGCGCCCCGCTATAGAGTCCCGAGCGGCCCAGGGCATGGCGACAGAGCTCCTGCGCCGCCGCGGCGCAGAGCCGTCGGCGGCCTGTGCGTGCTGCGAGTCGCAGCACGCAGGGAAGCGAGGTCAAGCTTTTGGGGGTCCGCGCGGGGGTGGGAGGAGGGAGGGGGGGAGGGGGCGGAGGATGCGGGAGGAGGGAGAAGCCACGAGTGCTCCACGCAGCGCAGTGGTTGAAGCAGAGAGAGGGTGGGAAACCCCACCCTCCTTTTTTGGGGCGTGAGTGGTTTAGAGAGCCTTCGTCCTCCATGCCTCCCCCCTCCTGTGGCAGGACGTCTTAGCCTGCTCCTCCACATCCCCGATCAGGACAGCTCGGCTGGGGATTGCTTCTGGACGGGCTGGAGGGGCTACGCGAAGCGCCCAGAACCACCCGCGGAGCAAGCGCTAGAGCAAAACGGGGGCGACCCTCTGGCGCCGCCGGCCCCCTCGGGGGCCAACGGACTGCGAGAACGAGGCTGGCCCGTTCCCTGCATTACCAGCCTGGAACATATCCCTATCCCTAAGCTGGGCATCGCCTCAACACAATGCCACTCTTAAGGATTCCTTTAGTTTTTCAGGGCGCATCCCTAAGATTGTCATCGCCTTTTGGCGTGTCAATCTTAGGGATAGGGATACGTTCGAGGCTGGTGACTGCAGGAGCTCCAGCTCCCAGGCTCGGTTCACAGATTTGCAGCACCTGGGCTCCAACGCTGTGCCGGTTGAGGTCCGCCCGGGGGGAGGAGCCCGAAGAGCACCACCCAGCCACGGCAGAATCACATGCTCTGAAATATTCAAGGGGGGAGGGGGCCGGGACATGAAATACACGAAATTGGCGCCCCCGAGGCAACAGATCCCTTGCAGGTTGCGGGTTGCGGCAAGTTCGCGCTCCCGCGGCCACAATCCGTTTTCAGTTGAAGCAGGCTCGCGCTCACGAGGCAACAAATCTAAGAGTAAACTGCGACGCGCTCGCCTTCCCTTCGGGGGCGCTCGCGCCTCGGAGGTCCTAGTTCGGGCTTGCAAGATTGCGACGGCCTTTTGCGCCCCGGAGCTCCCTCCCCCACAAAATGCAACGGGCTGGATTTCCCGAAACAAGGTGGCCTCGCAAATTCATTCGCGCTCGCGCTCCCGATGCAACAATCCCGGCTGAGGCACTGCGCCATCGTGTCCACAAGGCCACAACATGTTGTACGGTACTGCGCGTTCCTTTTCCCGACGCCACCAACCAGGCGAATTCCGACGGGTTCGTGCCCCCGAGGCCACAATCCCTTGTACAGTCGGGCCGCTGAAAGAAGGAACACTGAAGAAGGAACGAAGCCCCTTTCTTGGCCCTGTAAGCGCCTCCGTGCCCCAAGAGGGCAAGAGGAACAGCACCAGAGGAACCTAAAGAACATCGAGCCCCTTCCGAACCCAAACTGTTCCTCAGTTCGGCGTCTGGACTGCAAATCCCGCCCGCCCTCTGGGCGAAGGTGGTCTAACGATGCCCGTCTCTCCTCCTCCAGGGCTCTCTCCCGCTCGGGGCAGCTTGCCACCCCCATCGCCTCCCTGAGGCGTTTTTTTGTTCGGGAGATTCTGGCCATCGCTCGGACGTCCATTCCCTGTGCTTTTTTCGGTTTCGTGCGTGGTTTTTTCGCCAAATGATCATCAAGGATGCTCCTCGATGGTCCTCGCCGAGGAAAAAACGCACACGTCCGAGCGATGCCAAGGATTCGAGAGCGGTCAGGGCGCCCAGGGTGGCCTCCAGGGTGGCTCGAGATAGCCGAGGATGGCTCAAGATAGCCGGCTTCCGACATGCCTCCAAGAGGCGGCCTCCTGGAGGCATGCCGGGCCTCTGCGGCCCGACGAGGGCCACACGGTGGCTCCGAGTGTTCCAGGAGCGCCCTCGGGACCGCCCCCAGGAGGCCAAAACCCGCCCCCAGAACCGCAGGACAGCCCCAGGAGAGGCCCAAGCGCACCCAGGCGGCCCCGAGAGCGCCCAGAGAGGATCCCAAGGGAGCCCCGGGTGGCGAGTTCGAGGGGCCCCAGAAGGGGAAGGCACGTCGGTGGACCCCCCCTCCCTGTTGATCGATGGCCTCCAAGATGGCCCCGGGAGGCCCTCCAGGGCTCACAGGGGAGCCGGGGCCCCAAGGGGTCCCCAAGACGGCCCCAAGTGCGCCCGGGAGCGCCAGAAAAGCGCCCCGCGGGGACCCGCAAGAGGCGGTCTGCCTCCTCCTCCTCCCCTCGCCCTCCAAGGGATGGCTCGGAGAGGCCGCCCAGGGCCACACCTATCGGAGATCTCTCTGTCCATCCTGGTGAACGCTTTCGTATTCGGCGCTTCGACGTTGGGCGGAAGGGGGGGAGGGGGAGGGGGGGGGGTCTGGCTCCAGACCTCCGCTCTGCGCGGCTGTTTGGAACAGCGCGTCCCAAAGGAGAGAGTCTGCCGGCTCGAAACAGGCGCCAAAAACTGCCAAGATCTACTCCACGGGGGGGGGTTGTGGGGAGAAGGGGTGCGGGGGCCCGCGCCGATTGGCAAGAGAATGAATAAGAAAACGATCACCTGTTCATCCTGGTTGCCCGCGCTGTTTCACTGCATGTGTCTCTTCATCGCTTTTTCCGTCAGGTCTCATGGACAGGGTGTCTGAACGGGCTGGTGGGGATACTTTTTGGTCGGCGGCTCCCTGGCGATGGTCAAGAAGTGGGGATACGCGAAGCGTGGATGATTACAACGGGACCGCGATCCCGAGGCCTCGATCCTTCGGAAAGTACGGCGCACTCGCGTTCCCGAAGCAACAAAACCACCCCGCGGATGCTGCCCAAAAGCGCATCCCCCCTCCAGTGCAGAAACATGTAGTTTTCTGTATTGAGATGCGCGTTCGGGTCTGGACCCGAGTCAACGAATCCTCGACAATAACCACGGGGGCGCGCTCCAGGGGCCACCATCCCGTGTGATTTCCACAAACGCGCGCAACGAACCAGACAACAAAAGACACCCAAATCAACTGCCAACCATCGAGGTGGACAATAAACCAACCAGCCAAGTTGCCAGCAAGCCAGCCGGCAAGAAAGCCAACCAACCTGTCGACCGAGCGTGGACACGCAGGCAATCTGAGGGGGGTCAGCGGCAAAGGGCGAAGCACTCCAGTAATTTGCAATAAAAGGACCCCTAACCCTGTGGGAGGGGACCTGAGCTAGGAGGGCCAGAAATATGCGGCATAGGGGGTCTGTTCTGCAGATGTGTCAAGCCAAACGGCCCAGGTATCCCTAAATGCAAAGACGGGGACCTGAGTGATGCCACGCCTGCACTATGTGATTCGGTTCAGGGGTTATCTTAATTCTCGGTGATCCAAACCACCAGCCGAGAGGCTTAAAGTGGCCGGGACCAAGAAAATCGGCCAGGACGGGGGATGACGCCCAATCCGCTCAAAATCTGTCCCCAGGCCCCTCCTGGTCCATCTGGCCAAGCGTTTCGCCCCAGATCCGCTTCCGACGGTTCCGGGGCCCGAAAACTGTCCCCCGAGGCCACAGAAGACACGAGATCTTCCCGAACCCAGAACCCTGAACCAGGGCTGAACCTAAACGGTGTTTGTCGTTTTCGTTTTGGTTTCGCTTTCCGACGCTTCTGTCTCGAATCCTCCTTTACCGTAAAACGAAGTCGACACGAAAACGGCCCACGAAATCACCAAAAACACCGTTTAGGTCCAGCCCTGCCCTGAACCTGCCTGCCCCTCCCTGCTGACCGGACAAAGTGCTGGGCCACCTCAGACCCCCAGGCGGCTCCAGGACCAACATAGGGTCAACCCGCACAGTAAGGATGGGCAACCTTACCAAGGGCACCTTCTATCGTTGCCCCTTCGGACGGCCCATCCTTAGCGACTTTCGCTGGCCAACCTCGATCGAAAAACTTTAACATGGGCCTCCAAGGCCCTTGCTTCCTTACCGCGCATCCCTATGACACAGGTTGACTGCACTCTGCCCTGCCACTCTTGGTCCTCCGCCGAGCCTGCGCCAGCGGACCTTCCGGCGCACCCGCCGTCGGCTCGCTTCTGCCAGCCTTCCGCTGAAGGCAGAGTGCGCCAAAGGCGAAGCCCGCCCTCCTCCTCCTCCTCCTCCTCATCCTCCTCCTCCTCCTCTGCGGACCCCGCGCGAACTGGCCCCCCAAAAGAAGCTCCTGGCTGCCTCTCCTGGCACTTCCACAGGATGCACCTGCAGCTGAGAGAGGATGGACAAGTTTGCCAAGACTACGATCTTAGACGAGTAAACACATAAGCATCAACTTTTGGCGCTCCGCGCGGATCCAAGAAATCCGCGCGGAGCGCCAATAGTTTATGTTGATGTGTTTTTTCTTCGATATCTTGCGGCACTGTGAGAGAACTCTTTTCTCACACGGATCGCGACAGACCCCACGCGGATCGGCCACTCTGCCACTCTGGCGCCTCGCGCCACACCAGCGGCGGCAGCGCCGCCCCGTTGGCGAGGCCGAAGCGGCGCGCAACCTGTCGCGGCGAGGGAGGGGGGGGGGACCAGGGAGACCAGCGAGACCTCGATCCTGGATCCTCGAGCCCCGATCCTCGAACATCGAAACTCGAACCTCGATCCTCGAACCCCGATCCTCGAACATCGATCATCGATCCTCGAGCCCCGATCCTCGAACCTCGAGCCTCGATCCTCAAACCTCGATCCTCGAACATAGATCATCGAGCCCCGAATCCTCGAACCTCGAGCCCCGATCCTCGATTCACAGGACATTCAACGGCTCGAAAAAGATCGAGGCGGTCGGGCTACCGCAGCGCGAAGCATCTGGAAACCGACCTCGGGCACCGGGACCGTCAAGCAGCAACGCGGAATGAAACGCATGCCCCTGGGGAGGGGGTTGAGGAGTCGGGGGCCCATGCGCCGAACAGAATCTGACGGCGGGATGACTGGACCCTTCTGCCCACTGACGTTGGCAGCAGGGGGCACCATCCCCCACGCAAGATACGCTCTACACTTCTCCTGTGGGGGTGATTCAAAGCGTGGTGTTGGGCTTACCCGGCTTGGCAAGCGCTGGCTGGAAAGCCCGAGGCTCCGCTGCGTGCATACATGTGTGCAGCTGTCCGTATAGACCATCATCGGTGTCCTCAGGGGGGGATCTTCTTTCATACATGTGTGCAGCTGTCCGTATAGACCATCATCGGTGTCCTCGGGGGGGATCTTCTTTCACACTTGAGTGCAGCTGTCCGTACAGACCATCATCGGTGTCCTCGGGGGGGGTCGTCTTTCCATTCCAGCCGCGGACGCGGGCAAACGAGCGCGTGGCGCGGGCACAGCCTCGGACGGGGGGGGCCTGGCGGGCGGGCCAGGCGGGCGGACCGATCCCGGCTCAGGAGCTGGCCGGGGCGGCGTCGTCTCACGGCAGCCCTCGGCAAGTCAGCCACGCACCCCCTATGCGCACCGTGTCGCCATGGCCCCTCCTGCGAGTTAAGCCGCCGTCGGCTGGGTCCGCAGGCACTGCTGGCAGGCTCGCGCGCATCGTCAACGATGAAAACACATGTTGCGGAGCGCAACGAGTCGCACTACAGAGCAGGCGTCGCGCACAGGCGCGGCCTCTGGAGGTCGGACGAGCGCGAGCCCAGGCGAGAGCACGATTCAGGCGTAAAATTCAGGGAGGTCTCGAGCGGATCAACTGCGAGGACGTCTCAGGCGGGAGCGGGGGTCCTGAATAGAGTGCGGGGAAGTTTCGGGAGTCGTTGTTCTTGCAGCCGGGCGTGCAAGGGTTCCAAGCTATGTGAGAAGGAGTCCCAGGCGAGAGCGCGATCCCCGAGCGCATTACAACGAAGGTTCGGGCGGACAAGTTACGAGGAAGTCTCAGGAGAGAGCCGCTGCTGTAGCTGCGCCATCACGCGCACAGCGTGATTGCTGCATACATTGTGATGAGGTTCCAGGCGCGGGCACGATCCATGAATAAATGTGGATGGGGTCTCTGTCGGGAGAGGGGGTCCTGAGTAGATTACGACGGAGGTTGTCGTAGTCGGGCCTTCAGGGTTCTGAGTAGTGCGTGACGAAGTCTCACCAGCCCTCTGGGCGAAAGTGGTCTAACGAGATCTTCCTTTCCTCTTCCGCTCCCCTCTCCCGAACCTCCTCGCAGAGGTCTGGATGGGAGGGGGGAGGTGTCAGGGGGCCTCCAAGATTGCTCCAAGAGCGCCTCCGAGAAGTCTCGAGCGGGAGCGGGTGGCCTGGGTTACTTGCGAGGAAGTCTCAGGCGGGAGCCGTTGCTGTAGCCAGGCCTACAACACCACACATTTCGACTGAAGCCCGCGCTCGAGCGCGAGCCTCGTTTGCAAGGAAAACGTAGCCCACGCTCGAACGAGAGAGCTCCGTCAACAACGATAGTCAAAGGACGATCCGCACGCACCCAAGGACCGTGTAAGACCGTTCGCCCCCCTCACTCTGATGCATCAATGTGGGAAATTCTCTGATATGGAACATGGCCATGCCCCTCAAGAGAACAATCTCTTCGGGCTCGGTGTCAGCACTGGCATACCCACCTATCAATCAAGGCAACCAAGACCCATGCTTGAACTATTTAGCCATCCCGCTGGAATCTCAAACACCCAACCACTGTCCACAGTCGGATTGCATGATTCGGCAATGTGCCGATTGACCCGTGGCCCAAGCGACCTCGAAGACCCTGAACGACGCCCACCATGACCCACCATACTGCCATCAAACAACCTGGGCCCCCAGGCGAGGCGGACCCGTGCCGCTGACTGGGCAGGGCACTTTGCGCTACGAAACAACGCGCCCCCTGACATAAAGCCCGATTGAGGAATGTGCTATGGTGTCTAATTGGCCTGCGGCGCAAGCCGGCTCCTCAGGGCTGCAAGAGGGCTCCAAGATCTAGGATGAATTGCAAACCCCCACGCTTGCAGCTTGCTCACCATGACTTGACCATGGGGCAGACAAATTGTCGCAGCGGAGCCTCACGGCAATCTGTCACTTATCGCAACCGCTGCTGCACACTGAGATCCGAGGGCAGAAAAACACCCCACAAGGATGCATTCATATCTTGCCCCAGGTCTGAGCGTCCTCACGTCAAGCTTAAGCAAAACCCGCAGGACGGTGTCGCGGCACCGTCCCGCCAACCCCCCCCCCCCGGGCAGCTCCCACTGGATGGGAACTCTTACTTGTAGTCGAAGGTGTCCTCGACGAGATCGGATCCGCCGGCCCCACAAAATCTCCCCTGGGGCCCTCCGCCTCTGCGACCAGGGAGTCGAAGCCGACGTTCACGGGCAGCATGCAGAAGCGCGCCACGGCGCCCCACTTGACGCGTAGACCTTTGGACTCGTCCTACTCTTGCTCGTTCTTCTCCTCCGTCTGCTCCTTTGTCACGCTCCTCCATTCCTCTTCCTTATCCGCCACAACATTTCTGGCACGTCGGGGAGAGCCCTCTGGTCCTTGATGGCAACCTGCGTTCGGACATGAACACCAGATCCACGCGCGCGCTTCGCGCGCGCTCAGACTCGCAGTATATCACTGCATCGTGCAACTTGTTGTTGAGTGGGCGTGTTGGGACCTCCCCCGATTTTCGCGTTCGCTGAACATCTATCTGCTTGTGGAACCTCGCGCATGGCGCAGAGGAGGGACTGGGCCCGAGGAAACAGAAACCACTGGCCACGAAACATCGTGGTCATTTCGGCTACACGCAAGAGTGACCCTGGATCAGAGTGACCTTTGGTTCGCGGCTATTTGGGGGGCCGCGGCGGGGGGGGGGGAGGGGGCAACGCCTTCGGCGACCAGGGGGCCCCAGAAAGCACGCACCAAAGGTCACTCTGGCGAAGGGTCACTCACAAGTCTAGTCGAATCACTGCTGAACGCGCGATCCCGGTGAGCAGTTCGGATTGCCGGCGCGGGGCGGCTACGGGGGCCAGGGGAGGCGATCAGGCAGATCTCCTGCGCAAGCAGGATCGCCGTCCGACCTTCGGCATCGGTCTTTCACCAGAGTCGACCCCCCTCCGCATGCATCTCCTCCTCCTCCTCCTCCTGCTCCTCCTCCTCCTCCTCTCCTCCTCCTCCTCCTCCTCCTCCTCCTCCTCCTCCACTTCACTCATGTTCATGATGCCTCATTCTCTTTCCCTCCCCTCTTCCTCCCCATCTCCTCATCCATCCTCCACTGGGGCGACTTAGTCTGAGATTTGGCGCGAGCTCTCGCTACAGCCATCTCCTTGCTGGCTTTTCCGACATCGCCGTTATAACACTGTGTTTCATCATCGTCATCATCATCATCATCATCATCATCATCATCATCATCCCCTCATGCTTCCTCTTCCTCTTCCTCATTTCCGCCCTACAGTCGGGCTGCTGACATAAGGAACGCTAAATAAGGAAGGCAGCCCCTCTGCGGCTTCAAAAAAGCCTGGGTGCACGAGAAGGGCTAGAGGAACAACCACGGAAGGGAACATCGAGCCCCTTCCGAATCAAAACTCTTCCTTATTTCAGCGTCTTGGCTGTACCCTGCGAAATATTCCCCATCCGCCTCAGCTCTTTTTGCGGAGGCTCCTCCTTGGAGAGCCTCTTGGAGGCCTCTTTGGGGGGCTCCTTGGGGCCGTCTGGAGGCCTCATGGCCGCCTTCTGAGGGCCTCTGGAGGCTTCCTCGGGCCACCCTGCTTCCAAACGCAGTCTCCCTGAATGACCGGAGAGAGAGAGAGACAAAAAAAAAAAAAGAGAGAGAGAGATAGGAAAAAAACAACGAACAAACAAGGAGCATCCCCTGATGAAGCGTGCTTCGGCCCACAAACAAGATCCAGACCAGACGACGACGGTGGCGCGACGTCGAATAGGTCTTCTAGCGCACACCTGTCGGAGGTCCGGGTCCGCGCTGGTCTCTTGAGTCTGCGCTGGAGCCTGGCGTGCGGTGCGCGCCAGGGGCGACGCCGGACGCGCCGCCAGGAGGGTCCAAGCGCCGGTCCTGGAGACCCGCGCGGACCTCCGAGGGGGTCTGCTTCTGCCGACTGTCCTCTTCGAGCGCAGGCTCCGACCCGGGGCCCCGGGCCAGCCCGGCCAAGAGCGGTGAGGTGCTCCGCCGGCGCACCCTCCTCAAGGGGAGCCGGCGGCGCCAGCGATCCCGCAGGTGGCCCCGCCGCGACTGGCCACCCGGGCCCCAGGCGGCCCGCGGGGAAGGCGACCGGGACCCCCTCGGCGCGAGACGGGGACGCAGGCAGAAGCACCACTGCCTGTGGGGCATCGGCAGGCGGTGGAGATGGGAGTGGTGCCCCCCCCCCCCGGGCCCGAATGTGTCCGTGTTCCACCGCCCGTCTTGGCCCTCGAAGCGCGCTGCGCGCTCGCCCTGGCGGTGGCGGTGGACACAGCCGGACCTAGGTCAGAAGAGCATCCTTCAACAACATGAGACCCTCCGCTGGCCAAACCGCAGCACACTCGAGGCTATACCCTCCCCCAAGATGCACCGGAGCGTCCGAGCAACACGGAGAACGACGGGGTACCCTCCCCGAGCCGACCTCCGTCTCATGCCTCGGTCCGAGGGCAAGCCTCCGCCCCGCACCAAGCCAGGACACCGCCAACCAGGACTCTGAAAGTTCCGGCTGGGCAGGGCGGAGGGCGGAGAACGCTGCCTCCGGAAGTGTGGGGCCCGAGCCCTCGCGATCCCGCTCGCCTGACCCGTCGGGGGACCGGCTGGCAGCGGGGACTCGCCGCCGAGCGGGTCAGTATAGGGGGCGCCCGCGCGCCCCCGCTTGCAGACTCCTCGGCGTCGTGGAGGTGGGGCGCGCCCTCGCGTTGCCGCTTTTAGGGGGCCACACGCGAACCCCACCCCTACCCCCCACGATTTCTGAGGGGGAGGGTGGGGCTCACTTCGCCCGGGAGCTCCCAGACGAAGTGAACCCCACCCTCCCCCTCAGAAATCGTGGGGGGTAGGGGTCGGGTTCGCGTGCGGCCCCCTAGTTTTGGCCCTTCCTGTCTCGCCGCCTTGGCTCGGCTTCTGGGTGCCCTGCGTCGGCCGCCCCCCCGGCGGGGGGGCCGCTGCGCTGCGCGCCACCGAGACCTGGGCGGAGGGCGGAGAGCGCTGCGCCCCCGCGGCTGCCCAAGTCTTGCAGCTCTCGGGCGCGCCGGCGTCCCGGCCTGTCGGAGCCCCCCGTTGGTGTCGGATGCTCGTGCTGGGGGCCTTCCCTGCACCCGCCCGCTGCACTCGCGCGCCGATGCTGCGTCGAGCGTCCGTCGGCCTGGGTCGAGTCGGAGTCGAGCCTGAGTCGCACTCGAGTCGAGCTAGAGCCGAGATAGTCGAGCTCGGGTCGAACTGGAGTCGATGGCATCCTTTAGGTGGGCACCAGGGAGAGAGTAGAGAGAGAGAGAGAGAGAGAAAAAAAAAACAAAAAGAGAGAGAAAGAGAGATAGAGAGAAAGAGAGAAGAGTGCACGTCAGAGGTGCGTTGGCAGGAAATGGTGAGACCAATTCCACCGCCAGTGGAGCGGCGGTCGAATTGCAAGGCGGCGCACACGAACCAGAAAAGAGAACAAGAGAGAAAGAGAGGAAGCGACGACGAGGGGATCGAGGCGCGGAGGAAGACGAAAACAACATCGGAAGGCTCACAATTCGCGCTGCTTGTGGGCACACCGGACAGGTTTCCCAAACGAACATCTGATCCACGGTACCCCGAGACGATAGGAGCGCTGAGGCGCCGGCTCAACATGCCGCGCTTGCGCGCCATGCGCTCCTCGGAGGTGTTCGTGTCCACGCCCAGCGACGTGGCGACCTCGCCGGCGTGTCGCTCCCGCGAGGCGGCGGCGAAGCGGCCCACGGCCACGCGGGAGCAAGGCCGGCTGCGAGGGGCGACGTGCACGGTTTAACCCGGGGGGCCGTAGGCGACCCGAGGAGGAGGAGGAGGTGGAGGAGGGGAAGGGGGAGGAGGGGAAGGAGGAGGAGGAGGAGAAGGAGGAGAAGGAGGAGGAGGAGGAGGAGGAGGAGGAGGAGGAGGAGGACGCGGAGGAGGAGGAGGGAAGGGGGGGAGGAGAAGGAGGAGGAGGAGGAGGAGGAGGAGGACGGGTCGCCTACGCCCTTCGGAGAAACCCTCCAGGACGAGGACAGCAACCACACTCGGCCAGGCTGAGCTCGGCCAGGATGCCTCGGCCAGGCTGAACTCGGCCAAGACCGAGTGCAACCTTGCCAAGTTCAGCCCGGCCGAGGTCAGCCTGGCCGAGGTCAGCCTGGCCGAGTTTTCCCAGGCCGAGTTCAGCCCGCCCGAGTTCAGCCCGGCCGAGTTCAGCCTGGCCGAGGTCAGCTTTGCGGAGTTCAGCCTGGCCGAGTTCAGCCTGGCCGAGGTCAGCTGGCCGAGGTCAGCTGGTCGAGTTCGGCCTGGCCGAATTCAGCCTGGCCGAGTTTTCCCAGGCCGAGGTCCGCCTGGCCGAGTTCAGCCTGGCCGAGCTTTCCCAAGCCGAGTTCAGCCTGTCCGGGTCGTCCCCTCCGCTCCAGCACAGCACAGATCAAGGGGCGAACTTCGACTCGGCATCGGCGACGCGTCGCCGACGGGTCAGCGAGAGAGGCCTCCGCTGGCGAATATACGCGCGATCCTGGGCGGGGTGGGCTGCCAGGCCCCCACTCGGCGGCCCAGGGGCGATCGGGGGTCAACGGGCCCCCCCCGCCTGCACCCGTTCCCCCTACAGTCGGGGCCTTGACCTAAGGAACCCTCAATAAGGAACGAGGCCCCTGTTTTCCATAAGTCGAACTTCGATTTCGCATCGAAAACCTAAAGAGAAAATCCAAGGCAAGCTGCGAAACACTTAGGGAACGCGGAGCCCCTCCCCAACGAAAAGGGCTCCTTCCTCAGCGCCCCGACTGTAAACGTTGCCGCGCGATCCTGGGCGGGGTGGGCTGTCAGGCCCCACAGGGCGACCCAGGGGCGATCGGGGGAGGAGGAGGAGGAAGAAGAAGAAGAAGAAGACTCGGCCTTGCGTGTGGTCTCAGTCTGACCTGCCACTCGCGCCAAGCCGTCGGCCTGGCTCTGAACACTACCTCTCACAATCGTCTCGTTCGTTCACGATCCGAGGTGGGGGTAGCACGCACCGCGCAGCCTCTCATACATGTGTATGAAGACCGTCGCAATTTATATCAGTCCCTGGGCAGGGGGTGATGCCCCTCGGGCCTCACAAGAGGCCGTGGCCGTCTGGTACTGCTTGCACCTGGCTGGCCTCGGAGGCACTCCACCTGCCCTGAGCGGCCCCCTCGGCCCCCGAAACAAATCTGGAAACCTCATCGTAAACTCCTCCTCATTCTCATTGGGGGGCCCAGGGTCCCGCAAGCTCAAAAAGGGTGAGAAGGCAAAGAGGACCAGGAGGGACGGCGAAGAGAGAGGAAGGGGAAGGGCGGCAACGCACAGGGGCGCGGCCTAGTACACGCACAGGTGGGCGCCTATGCCCAACCAGGAGTCGAGCCCCTCGGCGATGGTGGGTAGCTGGGTGAGTGGTTGGAGTAAGTGGGGCTATGCGACTAGCGCATGTCCCCACCGCCTTCACAGAAGCCGAGGCCGAAGCCTTCTAGGCAACTGGAGATAGTCGTCACAACCACCAGCCGTGCACAACAAGAATCATCACTCCACTGAGCCAAAGGAAGAACAGACACTCACGCCGATGAGGTCGAACCTGTCGCACTTGGGAAGCTCGATCTAACACATATAGAATGGGGGCGTCAACGACTCTGAACGTGTTCTCCGAGAACGTCCGATACGTATGGAAATGAGTGTGGTCTTGCATCGGGATAAAAGCACGCGGTGACGTCTGGCGAGGGGTTACTTAGCCAAGACCCTGTCGCAGCCCGTGCCTCTTCCATCTGAAAAAAAAATCACTGCGTTGAGCCCCCCATATGTGCATCTACTCGCATGGACCTGTCCGCCGCGAATGTCTAGGCGCAAGAGCTTTCGAATATTAACGGGCTTCAGTTGTGACGGTCTGGACATCAATCTAACTGCGAATGATTTGGAGTGTGAATGAGCCTCAGTAGTACGAGCGCGTCTCTGTGCATGAGCCTGGGGCCTCCTGGGGCCTCCTGAAACCTACTGGGGCTTCCTGGGGTCTCCAGGAGCCTCTCGGGACCTCCTGGGACCTCCTATGAAGGTTTCGTGCCCCAGGGGAGGCGCAATCTATAGCAACAGACGTGCGTAAAACATTGCGGATTAGAGCCACAGGAGAAGGGCAATCTATAGGAACACTCGTAAAACACCCAGGACTCGTGCCCCAGGAGAGGCCCAATACATAGGAACATGAGTAAAACATTTAGGATGGTGTACACAGGAGAAGGACCAGCTATAGAAACATACGTAGAACATCAAAGAATCGTGCTCCAGGTGAGGCCCAATCGATAGGAGCATACGTAAAACACATGGGATTGGAGCCACTCCCGTTGCCTTCTGAGGCCTCCTGCTCCTGGGGCCTCTCGGGGCCTCCTGTTGCCTTCCGAGGCCTCCTGGCGCTTCCTGTTGTCTCCTGGGGTCCCCTGTGGTTTCCCGAAGCCTTCTGGAGCTTCCTGGGGCCTCCTGGAACCTCTTGGAACATCCTGTGGCCTCCTGATGCCTCCTGGGACCTCATGTGGTCTCCTGGGGCCTCCTGGAGCCTGTTGGAGCCTCCTGTGGCATCCTGAGAAGATCTGCGCCCACGAGCCTGGCACCAAAACAAGCAAACCGATCGAGACATCCTCAAAATCTGGCCCACCTGGGGGGGTGAAAATGAGCGCCTCGCTCGAGACATCCTCCAAATCTGCTCCGAAAGCGAAGGATGTCGGGCACAGAAACAAGCAAACCGCCTGAGACATCCCCACAAAATGGCCGCGAACGAGCCCGTGCAACCACCCCTGGCGGCTCCCCTTAGGGGCGCTGAAATGAGCGCCTCGCTCGAGACATCCTCCAAATCTGCTCCGAAAGCGAAGGATGTTGGGCACAGAAACAGGCAAACCGCCTGAGACATCCCCACAAAATGGCCGCGAACGAGCCCGTGCAACCACCCCTGGCGGCTCCCCTTAGGGGTGCTGAAATGAGCGCCTCGCTCGAGACATCCTCCAAATCTGCTCCGAAAGCGAAGGATGTTGGGCACAGAAACAGGCAAACCGCCTGAGACATCCCCACAACATGGCCGCGAACGAGCCCGTGCAACCACACCTGGCGGCTCCCCTTAGGGGTGCTGAAATGAGCGCCTCGCTCGAGACATCCTCCAAATCTGCTCCGAAAGCGAAGGATGTCGGGCACAGGAACAGGCAAACCGCCTGAGACATACCCACAAAATGGCCGCGAACGAGCCCGTGCAACCACCCCTGGCGGCCCATCTTAGGGGTGCTGAGTATGAGTAAGTCTGTGTATGAGTAAGTCTGTGTATGAGTAAGTCTGGGCATGAGTAGGTCTGTGTATGAGAAAGTCTGTGTACGTGTACGTCCGGGTATGAGTAAGTCTGAGTATGACTAATACTGTGTATGAGTAAGTCTGGGTATGAGTGAGTCTGTGTATGAGTACGGCTGGGTGTGAGTAAGTCAGGGTATGAGTAAGTCTGTGTATGAGAATGTCTGAGTGTGAGTAAGTCTGGGTATGAGTAGGTCTGAGTATGAGTAAGTCTGAGTATGAATAAGTCTGTGCATGAGCAAGTCTGAGTATGAGTAAGCCCGACAGGAGGGGAGGAGAAAAGAGGAGGAAGGGGAAGGAGTAGGAGGCGTCCAAGTAATAACAAGAACCCCATCTTAGGATATGGGGAAAAAAAGCCAACGCAGTGAAAGCGTGAGCAGAAACAAAGACCATCATGCATGTAAACGAGCGTTCCAGAGATCTGGGTAGTATGAAGCCGTCGAGCATTCCCAAAAAAGAAAATATGTTATGAATAACTGGCTGGTCTCACGCAGTGCTTGTTCTCTCTGTCGGACCCGTTCACGCAGAGCTGCCAGCCTCTCTCCCCAGTGCGATACTTGTGGTGTCCTCATCGTTTCTTGACTTTGTCCGCTTTCTTGCCTTTGTCGAGAAGCCTCTGAGCCAGCTGTTCGAGATGGCCCTGAGGGGCGGCCCCGAGCTTCATGCGCCCTCCCAAGACCACCAGGCAGTTCACCACCGCCTGCCCGATCTCCAATTTGCTCATCGCCACCTCCTCTTGGCCGTTCGTTACTGGGATGGTCAGTCCGTCCGCTATCGAGAACTGAATCCGTGTGTACTCCTCGTTGTAGCACTTGCGGAATCGGAAGTGCCTCACCATCAAGCCAAGCTCCATGTGGTTCGCACCTGATACGAACCTCGTGTAAAAGATGTTCACCAACCTGGGCGAGTTGGCGTCCTTCGACTGGATCTCCTTGGACTCCGAGAGGGATCTGAATGCGGCGCGCGCGATGTACAAATGAGGAGAGGCCAACTCCCCCTTGGCTGCGGGTATCGCTGCCGCCTGTGCGTACTCTTTGCCCGTGCGCCTGCGCAGCTGTACGATGTCCGCCTCTGTCGGTGTCACAACGCTGATCCACTCCGACGCCGCCATGTCCCTGAGCAGCTGCGCGTGCTGGCACGCCATCTTGAGCAGGATGTTGAGCGCCGCTTGGATGTCGCGCGCCTTCAGCGCGCCCTCCACGGCTGCTAGGCCGTCGTCTGCATCCTCTGCCGCCTCTCCCACCCGACGTCGTTGGGCCCGCTCGACCCCCGCCTCGGCCCCGCCCTCTGGCTTGTGACGCTTCATGAGCTGACTGAGGTCCATGCTGGAGCCGCCTGCGAGCATCGCGTCGGGGACGGGTGCGGCAGTCAACAAT